TAAATTAATTGGGAGAAAATAAACTTGAGAGATTCAACATCCAAGACTCTCATAAGTGGAAAGGCTTTGTGAATGAGTTTGATTTCATTAGGAGACAACTCAATTGGTTTTTGTTTTGAGGAAAAACAATAGAAAGATCTGACATGTTCTGCAACAGGTGTTGTGGAGAGAAAGTCAGACAGATTAGATGGTTGAATACACAATCGACGGCAAGTATCTGGGTCCAGTTAGATTGATCAGGTTCTTGAAAAAGCCATTTGTTACTAGCCTCCTTTTTGCAGAACTGATACAACATGTCGTGAAGACGACATGTTTTTATTTGACCATCAGACCTCTTTTGCATTATTATTACTAAATTTCTGTTGAGAAGATCTGTCAAATAAAACTCTGCTATCTCCTCTAGTGTGAACTCAGGCTGTGGCTTTATCAACCCCTCTGCTATCCACAAACGAATCAATTTCCAACAAGGGATATCAAAGCCTCGAGGAAAGACACCACAATACAAGAAGCACATCTGCACTTCTCCGGGCAAATGATCATAACTCATCTTCACAAATTTCAGGCAGCTATCTTCGGTATGCTCACCAAAATGTTGCACCACATTTTGTCAACTCTTTCCCAATCCTTTTTGTCCGAACGACCTCTTAATGCTCCTGCAATTACCACTACTACAAGTGGTACTCCACCACATTTTTCTGCAATTTTTTTCCCAGTTACCACTAATTCATTTGGACAACTTCCCTTGCCAAAAACTCTCATTACCAACAATTCAAAACTTTCTTCTGTCTTCAAGAATTTCAGCACATGAGGTTCTGAATTGGCAAATTTAGCAACACGTAAGTCACGTGTGGTCATCATAATCCGATGACCCTTCTTGTTTTCTGCGAAAACTTTCCTTACATGATCAATGACTTCGTCTTCCCACACATCATCTAAAACAATGAGACATCTACCTCCTTTCTTGATATAACCACCTATTGCCTTAGCCAATGTGTCCACATCATCATTGAGATGATCTTCTATGTTTTTTTTGAAGAATTTAAGAATCCTAAGATAAATATCCTTTGCTTTGCATTCCTGACCGACGTAAACCCAAACAATGCTGTAAAATTCATATGTAAGCTTAGAATCATTATAGATTTTTCTTGCCAGTGTAGTTTTTCCAAGTCCGGGCATCCCCACCACTGGGATAATATCGACACTTTCCATCGGTCCTTCAACAAGTCGCTTGATCACTTTATTAGCTTCGTCATCAAACCCGACCACTGCGTCATTCTCCAAAGAAGGACCCTTTTAAACATATAAATCACATCAGAAAACAGAATGGCTGATCTTCACAACTTATACATCTCAAGTAAGTCCATTTTATTAAGACTAAAACAAACATTTAAAAGTTAAATTGTTACCAAATATAAAAACGTGTCATTCTTTTGTCTGGCCAAAAAGATAAAGTGACTATATAAATTGAGACAGATGAAGCATAAAGGCATAATACATAAATATGCCCTTTAACTTGACTTCAAATTCTTCAACTTTGGGTGTGCACAAGTAGACACTTAAACTTGTATAATATTGAACAAATAGACACACATGTCCTACATGGCATCCTACATGTCATTTTTTGTCCTACGTGTATTGTTCCACGTAGGACTCATGTGTCTACTTGTTCAAGTTTATACAAGTTTAAATGTCTACTTGTGCATACCCAAAGTTGAAGGGCATAAATGTGAAATGAGGCAAAGTTAAAGCGCACATTTTTGTATTATGTCAAGCATAAAATTGATTAGCTATTTTGTCAATTGAAATATACTTGTTTGAAGGGAAAAGGTTCAAAAATATCCTCAACTTCATTTATTAATTTACTTTGAAGTTGTTTTTATCCTCGCCGTTATTATAATTGTCACCCATATCCCTCAATTGGATGAAAAGCCCCAAATCAACTAAAATTACCCAAATTCAATTAGAATGACCCGATGTTTTCTTTTAAGTCGAACTCGATCCACTAAAACAAATGAATTCATACCAAATTAAAATCCCAATGGAGGAAGCAAATGAAGAAGATTAGAGAGATGGATTTGGGATTTTAATTTGATATGAATTCATTTGGTTTAGTGGGTTGGCTTCAGATTAAAAAAGAAAATTGGGTTATTTTAATCGAAATTGGGTGTTTTTAGTTGATTTGGGGTTTTCCATCTAATAGAGGGGTACGGATGACAAGTATAGTAACGGCAAGGTAAAAACAACTCCATATTAACCGGTGAGGATAAAGTCAACAAATAAGTGTCTATTTATGCACACCCAAAATTGAAAGACATAAATATGAGTTGAGTTCAAGTTAAAAGACACTATGTTAAACTAATTAGTAGAAAAAAGGTCTAATATACTTCTCATAGCTCATATATAACCTTACTGTTACACAAATTGCTCACATATACCATTTTCCTCTAAAAGAAGTGAATTTATTTTATTTTTTTTAAAAAAAAATGTATTTAAAAATAAGGGAAAAGGGTCAGAAATATATTCGAACTTTGATTGAAATTGTTGTTACGATACCAAACTTTGGAAATGACCTTTTACCCCCTGCACTATTTAATAATGTATTTTAAAGGTATATATGTGTCCACGCGGATATAAAAAATATTGCATTATTATAAATAGTAATGTGTCCACATGGACACATATTTACCTTTAAAATACACTATTAAATAGTTTAGGGAGGTAAAAATATACTATTAAATAGTTCAGGGGGTAAAAGGTCCTCCATAAAGTTTGATATCGTAACAGCAATTTCGGCCAAAGTTGGAGCACTTTTGAGATCCTTTTCCCTAAAAATAATTCATGTAGGAGTATATTTGGCCTTTCTCACATGTATTTTTTTACTTCTTTACTCTAATGACTAATTTAAATTTATTATTTTGATGGTCAAATTTATTTTTTCTAATTATCTTATAAAATTTATTATAACTGCCCCATTTTTTTACTAATACAAAAATTAAATTAAAATATAACAACTAAAAAGTAGTTTTAAACTATAATATAGCTTTAAAAAATTCTTACTTTTCTCTCTTTTTCCATTCACACTTATTTCTTATTATTTCTTATATGTTTACATTAAAGAATAAAGAGAAAAAGGTTCAAAATATATGCGAATTTTGATCGAAATTGTTGTAACAATCCCAAACTTTAGACAGGACCTATTATCTCCTGCACTATTTAATATATATTTTAAAGATATATAGGTGACCACGTGGACATCATAAATATTGCATCATTATAAATAATAACTTGTCTACCTGAACACTTATATATCTTTAAAATACACTATTAAAAAGTGCAGGGGTAATAAGTCGTGGCCAATGTTTGGAATTGTTACAACAATTTCGGTCAAAGTTCAGATATATTTCAGACATTTTTCCTAAGAATAAAAGAAAAACTAAGAATAAAAACTCAAATAATGATAATCAACCAAGTCAAAAAAATAATTTTTGAAAAAAATAATGTATATCCCTACATGAATTTTTAAAAAGTTAAAATAAAAAAAAAATTAAAGTTATATTTTTTACTTCCGTATATGAAAATGATATGTGTGAGCCCTTTATTGAAAACACTCATTAATTTGAGGTAAAAAAATATTTTATTCTCTCAATTATTGAGGGTCTTAAAACATTCATATATATATATATATATATATATATAATAAAAGAAAACATTTAAATAATTAAATGCTAAACAAGAGAAGATGAACTTTTAAAAAAAACTAATTTGTTTTCGTACCTTATCACATGCCCTACCCAGTACCCAATCCCACCTCTCCCCCCGCCCTCCCCCCCCCCCCCCTCCTCCAAATATTCTTAAGAGTTTCTAAAAAAATATTCTTACCCCACTCCACTGTCTAGCCCAACTTCCCCCATCACCACCCCCAAAAAACAATTAAAAAATCTTTTAAAACAAAACAATTTTTTTTCTCTTATCCCAATTTCACATCCCTAACCCCTTCCCCATCCCAAATTTTTTTTGGAAATCTCAAATTTAGACTTTAGGTCACAAATTAGCTGTTAACAAGAGGTTTGAATTATACCTGAGTTATTTCCCCTTTTTTAGGGAGCTCAAGAACAGGGGTTGCCTGAAGTGCTTGATTGTTTTTACGAAGTTCTTTGACTTGATCATGTATACCTTTAATCTCAGCAGCAAGATTCCTAACTTTAATCAAATTGCGTGGCCAATCAAATATCCTTCCCATCGTATTTTTATCTTGATGCAGCTTTGCTTGAACCAGAAACTTATCAATGGCATCTTCAGCTCTGTGCACAGTTTTATGTATTTCTATCACCAAAACTTTCCACTGCTCACTATTCGTGTATCCGTATTTTGCGGCATCATCTAAAAAAGCTTTGAGTTGTTGAGCAATTTTAAGTAGATTTTCCAATTCTCCCTTTGCACCTCCAATTAGCTTCACATTTTCAGTTAATAGCTGCAACAAATTCTCTACCAGAAAATTCACAACTGTATCTGCCATATCTCCTTTCAGTTGTTACAAATCTAACAAATTTTTTTTTTTTTCAACTATTAGCTTGTAATGACATCTTCACATCACCACTGCTGTTATATAAATAAAAATAATGTTATTTTAAGTAGACCCAATCATTTTTATAAGTCTTTGTTTTGTATTCTTATTTTAAAAAATGTAAGTTGACTGAGTTTTTAGTTAGGTCTTTGTTTTGTATTCTTATTTTAAATGCAAATAGGCAGGGACAGACCCATGTGCAATGCACGAGCACCCATTAATTTCGATGTAAATTCATATATTTATACAGAATTATTTCTAAAATAGTTATAATAAAGTATTAGCCTCTAATGAATTAAAAGTTTGTTGGGTGGTTTGGTTTGGAATTGTAATGTTTTCTTCTTTTGATCCAATACAGATTCTTTATGTATTTATTTTATATTTCATTTAAAATTTTGTAATTCCTCTTTGATAAAAGATTACTCTTCTTTTGTTTTTTCTTGAGAAATTCTGGCTGATTAAGAAATTTCACATGGTTAATTTACTTTTTTCTTAGAAAGGGAGAGTTTTTAACTATAATATTAAGTTGAACACTTCTACAATTATACTACTATGTAGTTTATGGTAGATTTATGTTTTAAAAGCAAGCAAGCACCCACAAGCTTAAAATCCTGGATCCTCCATTACTGAATAGGGGTTTACAAGTCAAACAGTTGAGTAAAATCAAACTCACGAACCAAGTCAAGTCGAAGGAAAAAAAAAATTCAACTTGTGGTTTGATTTAGTTGGTTTAGCATTGAAGAAAAATCGACTATTGGTTTGGTATTAATAGGTAAAAAAGTCAAGTTTCTCTATCTCCACGAGATAGTGATAAAGTTTACGTACACACTATATTCCAATCCTATTTAGTGGAATTTCACTGAATATATAATTGTTGTTTTGTTAATATATTTTAAATTAGTTTATAATTTTCATACTTAGATATATTATTTCAAATTTGAGATCGTAAATATATTATTTTGTATTCAAAATCGAAAGTTACAATCTACTTCATAAGTATTTTATTCACTCGAAAGTTCAACTAGTAGCTAGCAATGAGATCTTCACATCACCAAAGGTGTGCATAAATAATGTAGTGGAATATGTTGTACGGCTCTGTTTGATAATGTGAAATGAAATTATAATATGAAATCATATGAAATGGAGTTAAAATTTTATTTAGATATATAATTTGAATTTTTATACATTATTACAAAGTTATTCTAAAAAAATATACTCCAATATTTATTTATTGAACTTTAGTTCAGTAAAAAAAAAGTAAAATTGAACTTGAGTTGTAGTATACTACCTTTTAATAAAATGAAACATGATCAATATCATTAATAACTATATCATCATGTTCATATTCTCTGAATATTTCATAACTTTTGGTATTCACACACAAAAAAAAATACAGGTATAAAATGGTGAAATTTTCTTTTATAAAATATAAACTTGTGCGTTAATTTTTGTATTTAAAAAAATATGAAATTCTCAATTAATTTTTTTTTAAAAAAAATTTGGAATTTCACCATTTAATTTGAAATCACGAAATAAAATCATCTATCCAAATGCTAATTTTAAATCACGAGATAAAATTATATGTCCAAACGCTTAATAAGTTGACCGACTCATTTAAAAGTCTTTGTTCTTTTTTTAATAGTGATGAGTCTTTCACATCGTCATGTCCTTTTTTATTCAGACTCATAAATGTCTACACATGACTGCAAACACATGTCCTTTCCTTTAACTAATAAGAGTTGTGGTGGGGTAATAAATATTTTTTTATCCTTAATCAAATGTCACATATTCTAGTCCTTCTAAATAGAAAGTCACACTTGTAAGAGAGTATTTTATCCCTTAATTTTTTTTTAAAAAAATCGACGATCGAGCTCTAATATGAAAACCGTACATTATGTGGGAACCCAAAACAAAAAAAATACACATGTCATTTCCTTTTCTACTCTTGACTCATTGCCAAAATAATGGATTCCAAGTAGATATTTTAAAGAGTAACATGTGAATAGGTTGAGAAATGAGTTTATTGCAGTTGGTGAAGTTTGATATTTATATTTGGCACGATACATAAATATGGTCTTTAATATAGTTTTATTTTACATTAAGTCTTCTAATTTTGAGTGTTCTCAAGTAGACACTTGTATAAAATTAAACAAATAAATACATACATCATATCAGTGTGACGGATTCATAAATTTTATATCATGGATACTTAATTATTTTTAGTTTTAAAATTGCTATATAGAGTAGGTGCTTAGTTAATATATTTGAATGAATTATCAGATATTGTACACAAATAATAATGTTCATCACAAAAAGCAATGGGTGCTTAAGTACCCAAAGTACATAACCTACGTCCGCCGTTGCGTTCTACGTACATGGCACCTATATGGTAATTTGCATTATACGTGGTGTTCTACGTGTATTATGCAACATAGAAGTCATGTGTCTACTTACTCAACTTTATACAAGTATATAATTACATATAAGTATATAGTTAATATATAAATACTAAATATCATACCGAAGTATATAGTTACATAAATAACATAATTTATTTCTACTTTCTTTTGAATATACATTTCTACATGTGTAATGTGTTACTATGATTCAATTGAGACATTTTCTAAATTGTCAAAGTCATAGTACTCTATTATATGAATATATATTAATCAAAATTTAACAAATCATAATTAATAATTTATCATACCACAAAATATCAAAATCGAACTTCAAAATAGTGAACCATACCATTCAAGGAATATTTTTACTGTCAATGGGAAACCAAAAAAAAGTTGGAGTTATTAAATGGATGGTTCTTGAATATTAAACTATAAAAGTTGACGAAGTCTTAGTCCTCGCTATATATTAAAAAATAGTGAAAATAAGAATTGAATTTAAAATTATGATATAAAATTATATGAGATAAAGTTGAAGTTTTATTTAAATATGTAATTTGGATTTTTATACACTATCACAAAGTTATTCTAAAAATAAAATTGAATCTGAGTTGTAGTGTACTACTTTTTTAATAAAATTGAACATGATCAATATTATTAGTAACTATATCATCATGTTTATATTCCTTGAATATTTCATCACCTCTTTGGTATTCTTGAAAAAAAAGAGATATAAAATGGTGGAATTTTCTTTAATATTTGTTTTAAAAAAATATGAAATCATGATATGAAATTCTCAAAATAATTTTTTAAAGAAAATTGGAATTTCAGCTCATGATTTGAAATCACGAGATAAAATTATTTATTCAAATAATAATTTTTAAATCACGAGATAAAACTATATGTCCAAATGCTTAAAGTTGACCTAGTTTTTTAGGCATAATACATAAACATGACATTTAACTTATCTTCAGCGGACAACTATGACCTCCAACTTTGAGTGTGCACAAGTAGACACTTACACTTTTTTAAAATTGAACAAGTAGACACATGTGTTCTACATGGCATAATACATGTAGGATGCCACGTAGGACACAAAATAACCATGTATGGTGCCATGTAGAACGAATATATTGTTCAATTTTATACAAGTTTAAGTGCCTACTTGTGCACACCCTAAGTTAAAAGTCATAATTATCAGCTGATGTTAAGTTAAAAGTCATGTTTATGTATTATGTTTTTTTTTTAATAGCGATAAGTCTTCCTTTTGATTCATACTCATAAATGTCTACACACAACCGCAAACACATGTCCTGTCCTTTCGCCAATAAGGATTGTGGTGGAGTGATAAGTACTCCTTCATTCTTAGTCAATGGTCTTGAATTCGAGTCCCTCTAGATAGAGAGTCACCTTTGTTAGGAAATATTTTCTCCCTCAACATATAATTTTTGGCATAAATTAAGATTTAATCGAGTTTTAATATGAAAATCGTAGACTGTGTGAGAAACCAAAAATAAAAAAATACACATGTCCTCTCCTTTTCTACTCGGCCTCAAAAATGTCCCCTCCAAATAGTGTCATTGGACGCATAGCCAAAATAATGGATTCCAAATAGATATTTTAAGGGATACGGCATAAGTACTTTCTAAATTCTTATCGAAATATTAGAAACACATCTTAATTAAACTAAGGTTCTATTATCCTTCGAATTCATTTTTTTTTTGTAATTTCATACACCTTTTCTCACATGGCACATTAATTTCATGACTCCACATAAATGAGGCGCGTGAAAGAATTTGTGCCTCATTCCATATTTTAAGGAGTAACATGTGATTGGGTTGAAATATGAGTTTATTGAAGTTGGTGAAGATATGATGTTTGTAATAACTTTATATATATATAAAGTTATTGTGGACCTAGTCTTTGTCGAAGACTTAGTCCTCGCTATATATTAAAATAGTGGCAGCAGGAGTACTTTTTTGTTGATTTGCTCCTAAATTGATAATTTTCAGTTACATTTCATATTTAAATTTATATAATTAGATGTATCTATTTAGTATATATCTGAGATATATTTATTTGCACACCTTGAATATGTATTTAGGTATCAAAATATGGCAAAAACTATAATAGAGCTAATGAGCTTTGTGTAATTAGCCTCTAAGCTAATGAGATTTGCATTATTATATATATAAGGCATAATATATAAACATGACTCTTAACTTGGCTTCAGCGGACAATTATACCCTCCAACTTTGAATGTGCAGAAGTGGGCACTTCAACTTCTATGAAATTGAATAAGTAGACACACGTGTCCTACATGGCATAATACACATAGGACGCCACGTAGGACACAAATTTGTCATGCAGGATGCATGCCATGTAGGATGAAATGCGTCTATTTGTTCAATTTTATACAAGTTTAAGTGTCTACTTGTGCACACCCAAAGTTAAATGTCATAGTTGTCGGCTGATGTCAAGTTAAGGGTCATGTTTATGTATTATGCTTATATTCTACTATATTATAAAAGGGAGTTTAGGCCCAATTCTACTATATTATATTCAAGATTGGGACTTT